TGGATTCCATAGGATTTTTACCATAGATAATTGTGCCATTTGCAAATAAAGATAGCTTTATTTCTACCTTTCCAGTTTTTATTTTTTCTTATCTTATTGCACTAGTTAGAACCTCCAGTATAATGTTGAATGGGAGTGGTGAGAGTGGACATTCTTGCTTTGTTTCTGATGTTAGGAAGAAAGCATTTGTTCCTTTACCACTAAGCTTTTTGTAGATGCCCTTTATCAAGACTGAGGAAGTTCTCTCCTATTCTTAGCTTACTGAAAGGTTTTTTTTTTGTTTGTTTGTTTTAAATCAGGAATGGATGTTGATTTTTGTCAAATGCTTTTTTTCTGCATCTATAGATGTTCTTTTCTCAGAAAAAATTTTTTGAATGATTTTTTTATTTTGAATATTCAACAAGCCTTGAATTTCCTGGCATAAATCTTACTTAGTCATTATCCTTTTAAGATATTGTTGGATTTGATTTGTTTAAATTTTGTGTTTATGTTCATGAGGGATGTTGATTTGTAGTTTTCTTGTACCAGTTTTGTCTTGTTTTGGTATTGGGGTGACATTGGCTTCGTAGAATGAGTTGGGAAAGTATCTTCTTGTCTTCAGTTTTCTGGATGAATTTTTATAGAATTGATATTAGTTCTTCCTTAAATGTTTGGTAGTATTCACCAGTGAACCCATCTGGTTCTAGAATTTTCTTTGTAGGAAGGTTTTTTTTTTTTTTTTTTTGGTGAGGAAGACCAGCCCTGAGCTAACATCTGATGCCAATCCTCCTCTTTTTTTTCCTTCTACTGAGGAAGATTGGCCCTGAGCTAACATCCGTGCCCATCTTCCTCCACTTTATGTGGGACACCGCCACAGCATGGCTTGACAAGCGGTGCGTCGGTGCGCGCCCAGGATCCAAACCTGCAAACCCTGGGCCACCGAAGTGGAGTGCATGCACTTAACCGCTTACACCACTGGGCCGGCCCCTGTGGAAAGGTTTTTATCAAATGTATTCATAATGTTGCACAGCCGTCACTACCATCCATCTCCATAGCTCTTTTCATCTTGTAACTTGCATTCATTTTTGAAAGATATTTTTGCTGAGTTGCTAGGTTGACAGTACTTTCTTTCAGTGCGTTAAAGATTTTGCACCACTGTCTTCTCTCTTGCGTTGTTTACAGCTAAGTCTGCAGACATTTTATCTGTTTCTCTGTGTGAAATGTAGTATCTTTCCTCTGACCACTTTTAAGATTTTCTCTTCATCACATGTTTTAAACCATTTGATTAAGATGTGCCTTCTTGTAGTTTTCTTTTTTGTTCTTCATGAAGTTTTCGTGTGCTTGGGGTTCACTGAGTGTTTTGTGTCTGTGGGTTTATAGTTTCCATCAAATGTGGAAAATTTTCTGCCTCTTTTTTTTTTTTTTTTTAGTAACAGCTTGAGATATAATTCACACAATTCACCCACTTAAATTGCACATTCAGTGGTTTTTGTGTATTCACAGAGTTTGCACCTATTGCCACAATCAATTTGAGAACATTTTCATTGTCCCCAAAAGAAACCTTCTACACATTAGCAGTCATTCCCCATTTCCTCTTAATCAGCTAGCCCTTGTTAACAATTACTCTTCTTTCTGTCTCAGTGGATTTTTGACTATTCTGGACATTGCTTATAAATGGAATCATATAATATGTGGTCACCAGCTTCTTTCCTTTACCAGAATGTTTTTAAGGTTCATCTACGTTGTAGCATGTATCAGTACTTCATATGATCTTCTAGTGTATGAACGTACCACATTTTATTTACCCATTAATCAGTTGTTGGACATTTGGATCGTTTCCACTTCTTGACCATTAAGAATAATTCTGCTAGGAACATTCGTGTATAAGTTTTTGTGTAGACGTGTTTTCATTTCTTTTGGGTATATACAGCCATACCTCAGATATTGTGGGTTCGGTTCCAGACCACCACAACAGAGTGAATATTGCAATAAAGACCAAACCATCACAATAAAGCGAATGTTGCAATAAAGAGAGTCACATGAATTTTTTGGTTTCCTAGTGCATATATAAGTTATGTTTACACCATACTGTAGTTTGTGAAGTATACAATAGCATTATGTATCTAGGAGTGAATTACTGGCTCATGTGGTAACTCTTTAGCCTTTTCGAGGAATTGTCATACTATTATCTGAAGTGGCTGCATCACTTTACATTTCCACCAGCAGCGTATGAGGGTTCTAGTTTCTTCACTCCTTGCCGATACTTTTCTTATCTATCTTTTTGGTTATAGTCATCCTAGTGGGTACGAAGTAGTATGTGATTGTGGTTTTGATTTGCATTTGCCTGATGGCTGGTGATATTGAGCATCTTTTCATGTGCTTGTTGGCCATTTGGATATCTTCTTTGGAGAAAATCTTTGCTCATTTTTAAATTGGATTATTTGTCTTTTTCTTACTGAGTTTTAAGAGTTCTTTATATATTCTGGCTACAAATGTCTCATCTGATTTATGATTTGCTAATAGTTTCTGTCTTTTCACTTTATTGATGGTGTCCTTTGAGACACTAAAGGTTTTAATTTTGATGAAGTACAATTTATCTAATATTTCTTTCATTGCTTGTGCTATTAGTGTCATATATAAGAAACCATTGCCTAATCCTAGGTCATGAAGATTTATGCCTATCTTTTCTTCCAAGAGTTTTTGCGTTAATTTTTGTATATGGTGTGAGGTAAGGGTCCAACTTCATCTTTTGCATGTGGATATCCAGTTGTCTCTTGCCTTTATTTCTTAAGGTATTTTTTTCTGTCCCCAACCCATCCCTATTTTGGGAACTCCAATTACATATATATTAGGCTTTTTAAAGTTGTCCAAGAGTTCACTGATGTAATTTTCTTTTCAGTATGTTTTCTCTCTGTTCATTTTGGGTAGTTGGAAGATTACTATAGCTTCATTTTAAACATGGTGTTCAACTTCAGAAGTTCAGTTTGGGTATCTGTGCTATCTTGTATCTCTACTTAACATGTTTAATCTTTTAGTTTCTGACCATATGGGATACAGTTATAGATAACTTTTAATGTCTACAAATTTTATCATAATCTCTTCTGGACTGGTTTTGATTGATTTTTCTCTTCATTATGGATGTTATTTTCTTGTTTCTTTGCATGCCTGGTTAATATTTTATCATGTGCCAGATATTGTGAATTTTACCTTGTTGGGCAATACATGTTTTGCATTCCTATAACTAGTATTGAGCTTTGTTTTGAGATACAGTTAAGTTTCTTGGAAACAGTTTGATTCTTTCGAGGCTTGCTCTTAAACTTTCTTAGGTGAGACCAGAGCAGCCTTTAGTCCAGGTCAGATTTTGTATCACTACTAAGGCCAGTGCTCTGTGAGTTACAAGATTTTTCCCTCTGGCAGCTGGGAACACCAGCTAGCCTTGGTTCTGTGTGAATCTGGGGATTGTTGCTTCTACTCCTTTTGGGTGCTTTTTTCCTCTGGCTCAGGCAGTTTCTCCCATGCATATGCTGATCAATTCTCAGTTGAAAACTTGAGGGGACCCTTCTTCAGATCTGCCAGACCTCTCTGTCTTTTCATCTCTCTCCTCTGTGGTACTCTGCCTTTGTAAATTCTAGTCATCTTGGCTTACCTGCACCTTTGTTCTGTTTCCTGAACTGGGGGGATCACTGTGCTTCCCCTGGCAGCAGCACACCCCCCCATGCTGCTGTCCAGGAAGTAAGCTGAGACAGTTGTAGGGCCTGCCTTGTTTGTGTCCCATCTTTCAGGGATCACTCACGAGAGTGAGCACTGGTTGGTGTCTGATCTCTGAAATTTGTTGATTCATGTATATTGTCTTGTTTTGTAGTTGTTCAGCTGGGATAGTAAATTTGGTCCCCGTCACTGCATCTTGATTAGAGGTAGAGGTCTCAAGATTGCTTTTTCAGCCAATACAAAGTCAGTTCTCAGAGACTGGTATATTTTCATTACATCTGTTTATCTCATTCTCTCTCAGACTAGATCCTGGACCATTAAAGAGATTATGGGGAAAGTTCTTGGATGGGTTATAGAAATGATTGGCATCTTATCAAGAAGTGCCAAGGGCTGGCCCAGTAGCATAGTGGTTAAGTTCCCCTGCTCAACTTCGGTGGCCTGGGGTTCGCAGGTTTGAATCCCGGGTGTGGACCAAGGCACCGCTCGTCAAGCCATGCTGTGGTGGCATCCCACATACAAAATAGAAGAAGATGGGCACAGATGTTAGCTCAGGGCCCATCTTCATCACAAAAAACAAAACAAAACAAAACAAAAAGAAGTGCCAAAGTACGGATTTAACATTGCATTGAAAGAAATTATTCTGTTCTCAGTCACAGAATCCTGTGTCTACTACTGTTTGATTATGTAGTTATGACTTAATATCTGAAATGTTTCTGGGCAAGTATTTTTACTTGTAATTATACAGTACAGCTTTTGTTTGGTTACACAATTCTTGATACAATTATCACTTGGATACTCTGGTCTTGAAAGTTTGCTAAGCTTAGAATATCTTGTTTACCTTTTGTTTTTAGGCAAAATTCTTGTTTTCTGGAGTATAGATATAAACAGCATCTGAGATACTGGATTAGATATTTTCTTGGTTTTTTGTGTGTGTGTGTGTGTGTAAATCCAAATCAATCATGTTGAAATATTGGATTCATCATTACTATAAATTATTCATACTTTTTCTTTCATGTCATAGCTGAGGCCACTTTAAATGGTAAAGTCTTAACTACTATGCTCTTAAATAACGATGCAATCTAAATATTGATAGATTGCCTTATATGGATTTTTTTAAGTCTGCTAAGTGGAGAGTTTATAACTTAATAGTAGCAGTGAATTATTCTAGAATAGGTAAGGTCTCCTGTTAACCCCTTCCTTACAATTTTTTGTATGATAAATAACATTTAGAGGTTGGAATGAGTAATAATTTGATCCAGGGACCAAATTGTAGCAAACACTATATAATCCTTGCCCTTTGTTTTTTCTTACAGGAAAAGTAAGAAGCTTAAGCTCATCTTTGTGGTCACTAACTCACTTGACAGCTTTGCATCTGAGTGACAATTCCCTGTCCCGCATTCCTTCAGACATTGCCAAACTTCACAATCTGGTGTATCTGGACCTGTCCTCTAACAAAATCCGGAGTTTACCGGCGGAACTCGGAAACATGGTATCACTCAGGTGTGCAGATTCAACTTAGTACATAACTATATACCCAATAAAACAAAATGAGCATTCATTTTATTAAGAAACAACACCATTGATTTAATGGTATTTGAACAAAAGTAAACATAACTATATCTTTTGTGTCAATTTTTCTGGAAAAATTGAATGTCAAATAATAAATCAAATAGATCCATTGCCTAAAATTTGTTTTATTACTGTTTCGTGTAATATATTTTGTTCTTGAACCAAGATTTTTGGACAAAGTGGGGGTAAACAAATAGAAGACACTTGTATTATCCCACAGCTACATTCACCGATGACAGATAGTTGTGACAGTTGTGGTGCCTTTCCCCAGTAAATTCTGGGGCACCATACCACCCCAAACACAGAGTCCAGGAAACCATTGCCAATTAATGCAACCTTTTTGGCCATCCCAGGGCTTGTATGCATGATAGTAATAAAGCTTGGACTTGAAAGAAGCTAGAATTCGTTATTGAATTTGGAGGACTATATTGTGGAGTATAGGAGGTGGATAAGTTGTAGAGTCAGACAGAGTTCAGATTGGAATCCTGACTTTGCCATTTACAAGTTGTGTGGTTTTGGGCAAGCTTCTTAACCTCACTGAGTGTTTCCTTGTCTGTAAAGTTGCTGTAATACTTAGCTGGCCAAGGCTGAGATAGAGATATTTGAGATAATGAGTAAAAAACTACTAGCAACCTGCCTGGCACATACGGTATTTAATAAATGATAATTGCTATTTCTTTCATTTACCTCTGTTTTATAGGGTAGATGAGTTCCACCCAAGTTGAAAATAAAGCCAATTTCCAGCCTTTATGTTAATCCCAATGGAAGATCTTGCCCCATTTCATATTATCTGCCTTTTTTCTGTGATTCCACTGGCCTTTCTGCTGCCTTCTACCATTTGCTGCATAGTGTAAAGGAATAAGGACCTTGTGAGAGTTTCTTTACCTCTCTTGCTGCCAGTTCAGCCTTATGACATTTTTTTAGGTTTAATTATTGAGTATATGCTATGACCATTTTTAATCCCCTAAACCAAATTTACTTAAAGAACCTCCTTTCCCATGTGATATATGTGGAAATAAACAGGAACGAATTGTTGAGAACTAGTTTTTCTTGTTCGGTTTACGGCCTCACCAACCTCTGATTTATTCAGTAGTAACCAAGGTTCATTTAAATTCCAAGAACCAAGGATTATAAAAATAGTTGTCATTCACATGTAAAAATTGATATATAAAACTTATTGTAGGAAATTGCCAGTATCTTAATGTTGGGTCTTCGGGTTTTTTTCCTACTGAAGATTCCTTTGATATTTATATTATGGTTATCTGTACAAAACAAATAATTAAAATAATCATTAGTAGTTAATATAGCTGCCATTATTTCTAAAGTGAAACTTTAATAAATTAGGAGAAGTATTAATCATAAACAATTGTGTGGCTATCATAAGCTATTTTGTATTGGTACTACCTGATTATTTTAATTCTGTTTTAACAATCCACACGTTAGGTTGTTTTATCATTCCACTTTCTTAAACGTGTAGTAGCCTGCACGTGTGCTAGACCAGTGCTGCTCTGAGGGTGGTCTGTGGACTATGTCAGTTTGCAAACTCTGTCACCAGCCTGCACAGTGAGATGCACAGCATGTGAGAGTGATTTTGTAACTGTTTAATCTAATACTCTTAAAAAATTAGGGCTTATGTTTTGTTGGTCTTTTTTTTTTTTCCTCATTTCATTTTTCTAGAATTCATTTTTTTTCTGTATTTTACAAATGTATTGGTCTGTGGCAATTTGGGTTTTTTTTGTTGTGTTTTGTTTCTTACCACATATGGTTTGAGAAGCACTAGACATTGAGAAGTACTAGACATTGGAACATAATATAAAATTTTGTCATTCTTAGGAGCTTATATTCCCAGAAATTATATTGTTGATTTTAGCTGTTAGTTAAAGGTTAATATGTCTTCTGACTTCCTGGAATTTTTACATCAACAGGGAACTCCATTTAAATAACAACCTGTTACGAGTTCTACCCTTTGAGCTGGGAAAACTGTTTCAGTTGCAGACTTTAGGCCTGAAAGGTATGACTTCTCATATTTGTGCTTCTTATGGTTTGTATGTATGTCTTGGAGTCTTAAGAGGCCGTAGGAGAGAGTCCTTTTGCCAGGGGATTTGCAGGCTCACTCTTCCCGGAACTTCATCAGTTTCTTAGCCACATCCCATAGTTTTTACTCTTGTCCACCTGTAGACTGTCTACTTGTCTTTGTTTTCTTTTTTGCTCCTAGCCCAGCCTTGCTTTTCTAGCCTTTGTTTTCAGTCATCTCTATGTTCTGGTGATACATATCTGAGGTCAGACTTTATTTATTTCATCATGCTGTAAACAGCTTTTTTTCCTATGTTCAAATCTCAGAAAATGGAGACTCTCTCAAAGTGCAGGAAACAATGAGTAGAAAATTTTGATCCCTTTGGACCTGCTAATAAAGATCAGTATTTGAGCTTTTTTTAAAAACTTGATTTATGAGGACTTCATTAATATGTTAGAATTTGGGGGCATAATTAATCCAGTAAGAACTATCGGGAAATATTTTTTTTTTTTTTTATGAGGAAGATCGGCCCTGAACTAACATCTGCCAATCCTCTTTTTTTTGCTGAGGAAGATTGGCCCTGGGCTAACATCCATACCCATCTTCCTCTACTTTATATGGGACGCCACCACAGCATGGCTTGACAAGCGGTGTGTTGGTGCACGCCCAGGATCCGAACCGGTGAACCCCGGGCCTCTGCAGCAGACCAGGCGCACTTAACCGCTTGCGCCACCGGGCCAGCCCTGGAAATATGTTTTTTAAACTAGCAAGATTAAAGTCACATTTTAATATTACGTCAATACTTATAAATTTTTTTATCACATTAAGTGATTCTTCACCAGTCTTGTAGATGTATCCAGCTTACTCTATAACTGATTCCTAAAAAAAGTCACGAAATGAAGTCTTTAAGAATTGCACTCTTATTTCTTAAAATTACAGGTATAAAATGAGGTTTGACTCCTATAAATCCATTTCATATCATAAAAGTAACGGTATTGTTCACAAAAACAAGTTTAATGGAAAAATATAAATAAGACGTTTACAAGAGTATGTAAAACATATTCAGCAAACATCAGCTTTATAAAGGGTTCTTTGGAAAGTTTTTTCTGTGTGGGCTGGATTTGCTGACGCTTCTTAAAATAGACGTCAGGGAAATGCAAGCTGCAAACGCTTTTTACTGTTATGTTTCCCTATGGTAAGCCTAGCTTTTTTTATTTTTCTGTTTTTGAATTTGAAAAACAGAAAAATATAAAATGTAGCAAAGTGTATTTATATACTGACCATCAGAATTAACAATATTTTGTCACTTTTGTGTCGGTTTTTTAATGCAAAAGAAATAGAACATTACAGAATGTTAAGACCCTCTTTGTTCCTTTTCTAGTCCCTTCCTCATCCCAGAGGCTGGCTGTTTTGTCCTTCTGGTTCAAGGTTTTGTAATCTTACAGTATATATTTTACAAACCTTAGTCTGTTTTCATTTCTCTAATGAGTCCCAAACTTTATTTGAAGTTAGTCTCATTGGTCACAGTTTCACACTGATTTAATGTGCATAAAAGCCTCTGAACATAAACACTTGGGAGGGATAGGGCAGTCTTTATGGCACCTTCATTTTCGATTATCCTTTACTCTTCCATTTCAGAAAGATCCTTTACTGTTTGACATCTACGCTTTTATGTTTCTTCCTTGTAAGTATAGTTTCAGAGAGATGTTTGTTTATCTCAGATACCCTGTCGGACGTTGTTACACAGCTGTTTGTTAACAGTGGTCTTTTCACTGATTTCACCTTTTTTGGACAAATCCTGTTATTTCCGTGAGCTTTGCAACTTACACTTTAATGTTGTACCAGCTACTTCTTAAAGCAGTTACATCATCCTTGCTCTCTGAAAATTTCTATCGATTTCTCATGGCACCTGTTAATTATTTGGAAGAGAGAAAATGTATCACTTAGTTCAGAAATCATCTCTGTTTGCTACATCATCCATTCATAGAGAGCCTAAGTATTTCTGCCTCATGAATTCCTTCATATCATTTTCTTTAAAGTTGATTTTGCAGGGCTAGCATGCTTCACTTTTTTTCCACATTCTTCCATTTTCTTTAAAATTGTTCTACAGTGACAGGTGAGATGCACATTCACCTTTTTCATTTTTTATTTTGAGATACTTCGAGATTCACATGAACCTGTAAGAAATAATGCAGAACAATTCCTGTGCCCTTGACCCAGTTTTCCACAATGTACTTTTCAGAACTAGTACGGTGTCACAACCAGGATCTTGACGTTGGTACGGTCAAGATACAGAACAATTTCCTCGCCAGGGGTCCCCCATGTTGCCCTTTTGTAGCCACACCCATTTTCTTCTTGCCCCAGCTCACTCCTTAACTTCTGACAACCACTGATCTGTTCTCCATTTCTGTAATTTTGTTATTTCAACAATATTATATAAATAGAGTCATGCCGTATGTAATCTTTTGAGATTGATTTTTTTCACTCAGGTTAATTCCTTGGAGATTCACCCATGTTGTTTGTGTTTTTGTTCCTTTATATTGATAAGTAGTGTTCCATGGTATGGATGTATCCTGGTTTGTTTAACCATTCACCTGTTGAAGGACATCTGGGTGGTTTCCAATATTTGGCTATTATGGATGAAGCTGCTGTGAACATTCTGTGTACAGGTTATGGTGTGAATGTGAGTCTTCATTTCTCTAGGATAAATTTCCAGGAGTGCAATTGCTGGGTCATATGTTAGTTTCATGTTTAGTTTTTTAAAAAACTAGCAAACTATTTTCCAGAGTGGCTGTACTATTTTACATTTGCACCAGTAGTAAATGAGTGATCTAGTTTCTCTGCGTCTTCACCAGCATTTGGTGTTGTCACTATTTTTATTTTAGCCTTTCTGATAGATGTGTAGTGAAATCTCATTGTGGTTTTAATTTGCATTTCCCTGATGACTGAGGATATTGAACATCTTTGCATTTGCTTGTCATCTGTATATCATCATCTGTGAAATATCTCTGCCCGTGTTCTGTCTAATTGGATTCTTTGCTTTTTTACTGTTGAGTTTTGGGGGTTCTTTATATATTCTAGATCTAGGCCTTTGTCAAATATGTGATTTGCAAATGTTTTCTTCCAATATGTAGCTTGTCTTTTCATCCACTTAACAGAGTGAAAGGATTCTAACATTTAATCTGAACATGTGTGTGTGTGGAGGGGTTCCCCCCCACAACAAGCAATTCTAGGACACCAGCCGGATGTCCTACAATCCAACTCAATTCTGACACTACCTACCCTGAGATAGCATCAGATTCCACAGGTAAAGGGCTCAGTTCTACAAGACTGCTCTCTGCCCCCAACTTCAGATGCCAATCAGAAGCCCAGGTTGTCACCTTTGCTTTTGACCCACTGGCTACAGATTGGAGGTTCCCACGACCCCTTAACTCAGGAACAGCCAGATGGAAGAGATGCATAGGGCAAGGAATGGGAAAAGGATGCCTAGCTTCCATGCCCTCTCCAGGCCTCTCCACTCTCACTCTCACTCTCACCATATCTCCACATGTTCAACCCAGAGGCTCTCTGAACCCTGTCCTTTTGAGTTTTGATGGAATTCTCATTACGTAGGCACAGTTGATTAAATCATTGGCCATTGGTGATTGATTCACCCTCCAGCCTCTCTCCCCTCATGGGTGTTAGACTGAAAGTTCCACACTTCTAGTCACATGATTGGTTCTCCTGGCAGCCAGCCCTAATCCATGAGTGGGGTCCAAAAGTCACCGTATTAACATAACAAGAGACCCCTTTATCGCTCTCCTCACTTAGGAAATTCAAAGGGTTTTAGGAGCTCCATGCCAGGAACAGTGGGTGAAGACCAAATAGATATTTCTTATTATAAATCAGAATATCACACAGGGTCTGTTATGTAGCAAAAGTTTTTGATTTTGATGAAGTCCAGTTTATCAATTTTTCCTTTTATGGATTCTGCTTTACCATATTCATTTATTACTTCTGAAAGTTTTTTGGATTCTTCAGGGTTTTCTGTATATAAAATCATGTCATCTGCAATAGTGACTTCTTCCTTTCCAATTTGGATCCCTTTTATTTCTTCTTGCCTGATTGCTCTTGCTAGGACTTCCAATATTATGTTAAATGGGAGTGGCAAAAGTGGGCATCCTTGTCTGGTTCCTGTTCTTAGAGGGATAGCTTTCAGTTTTTCACCATTGAGGATGATATTAGCTGTGGGTTTGTCATATATGGCCTTTATTATGTTGAGGTACTTTCCTTTTATACCCATTTTATTTAGAGTCTTTATCATAAATGGATGCTGTATCTTGTTGAATGCTTTCTCTGCATCGATTGAGATGATCATGTAATTTTTATTCTTCATTTTGTTAATGTGGTGTATCACGTTGATTGATTTGCAGATGTTGAACCATCCCTGCATCCCTGGAATAAATCCCACTTGATCATGGTGTATGATCTTTTTAATGTATTGTTGTATGCGATTTGCTAGTATTTTGTTGAGGATTTTTGCATCGATGTTCATCAGTGATATTGGTCTGTAATTTTCTTTTTTTGTGTTGTCCTCGTCTGGTTTTGGTATTAGGGTAATGTTGGCTTCGTAGAATGAGTTAGGAAGCTTCCCCTCCTCTTCAGTTTTTTGAAAGAGTTTGAGAAGGATAGGTATTAGATCTTCTTTGAATGTTTGGTTGTTCTTTATTTTTGGGGGGGGGTGGTGATTGTAAATGATACTGTATTTTAAATTTTGCTGTCCATGTTTTCATTTGTAGTATATAGAAATACAATGGATTTTTGTATTTTTATCCCGTATCCTTCTACTTTGTTGAACTCACTTCTAGTTCTAGGAGTTGCTTTTTGGTGTTTTTGTAGGTTTATTTGGAATTTTGTATATAGAAAATTATGTCATTTACAAATAGGGACAATTTTCCTTTCTGTACCCGTTGGTGTTTCCATGTTGCTGGCTTCTTCAGCTCCATGTCTGGGGTATGTGAGGCAAAAAGTAAACCCAAGAGGCGCCAGCCTGGTGCCATAGTTAAGTTCACGCACTCCCTTCAGTTGTCCAGGGTTTGTGGGTTCGGATCCCAGGCACAGACCTACACTAGTCATCAAGCCATGCTGTGGCAGTGACCCACATACAAAATAGAGGAAGATGGGCACACATGTTAGCTCAGGGACAGTCTTCCTCACCAAAAAATACAAACAGAAACCAAAAAAAAAAGTAAACCTGAGAAATTGACCACTGTCTTGTTCCTCAGGTGCCATTTTGCCTTCTCACCACATTCCAGAGTGTTATGTTTGTTTGCACATAATTTACAGGAATTTTAGTTGTACTTAGCAGGAGGGATAGAGAAAAGTATGTCTACTTCATCTTTCCAGTAGCGATTTCTCTCATTCACTTTTGTTTCTTACTTCTGAGGACTTAATATCATGTTTTAATTCCAGAATTGTATTGTTGTTCTTCTTGTTAACTTTACCTTACGTATATTATTTTCCCAGGCAATGAAGAGCAGATTAATTTTAAGTTTAAAGGAATTCCAAAAAGCAAGCAGACATTGAGGGAAATATACCATTTGGCCTTAGCTGCATTTATTAGAGAGTGATAATTAGATGTTTGTGTTTTGGGATGGTTTTTAATTTATAAAGAAAGATCTTAGAAGGGAGGATCATGTAGTTATAAGTAGTCAGCGCTAGCCTCTAAATATTTTTTGCACTAGAAAGTAGTAAAAAGACAGCCTTAGTGTAGGTCTAGTTAGAATGGGCTGCTTACATGGTACTGAGAAGTTTTTACTTGGTTTCATTTTCTCCAGATGTCCTTAACAAAGGGTCCTGGTAACTTTCAGGTTATGACTGTTCCTGTCTTGTAGGATTGTGACTAAATGAAAATGTCAGGGCTTTGGTAGCTATAAAAAACTGTACACGTGTGAGGGAATGATACTGTTGTAACTTGCCTTCCTGCAGAGACATGCTTTGCACATTAGGAGCACATTTTTACCTTTCTAATTCTTAGAATCCTAGATCTTAAAATTAAAGAGATCTTAAGGGTCAACTAACTTAGATATTCTTCACATCCACACAATCTAGCTTTTATGAAGTATACACTACTACCTCACAGGGCAGGGCATTTCGTCCTAAATAGTTCTAATGTTTACCAGCCTCTTCTATTCTGAGCTGGCTTTCCCATTAGATCCTATCCCTTGGTCCTCATTCTGCCATTTGAGTCTAGTTTTTCACAAAAGAATAGGAAAAAAACACTTCTTTCTCTGGGCTGTGATCATTCTTATATTCCATGTCTTTTCTTTTTCTTGTTTAATTTGGATGGTCAGGCTGTTTCATCATTTTAGCTGCCTTGTTCAGTCTATAGAATTTCTTCGTTTTTCTTAAAGTGGTGGTGTGGCATCCAGAACAATGTACGCCACTTGTGTGGCAAGGACAGGAACTTTGCCATTCGAAACAGTGCGCTGTACTGTTATTTCTCATATGTACATAAGAAATCCTGCTGAGAGGACTTGAGATTCTTATAAATACATATAAATCATTGATTTGCTTCCATTTTGGGCACTTATGACACAGTTACTGAATTTACAGATGGCTCAGGGCCCTGAGGTTTCCCTTTCCTTAGTCACTTGATCTTAAACCAGATCTGCCCCATTTTGTTACTTTATTTGGTAGAATTTTTAAAAATCTAAGTGCTAGAGTACGTTTGTCATTAGGACGTTTTCTTGTTAGCTTAGTTGCATTCTTACGTTTTGATTCTCTGTTTCATTATATTGGCTGTCAGTTTTCCCTTATCTAATCTTTCTTCGCACTCTCCCCAGTCCAATTTCACCTGCTTTTGATCATTATGTTATGAAAGTGTTGATGAGGCGGGTCAAATACAGAGCAGTATTAGATATCTTCCAGAATGACACGAGTCCATTACTAATGATATTTTGGATACCTCTATAGAACATGGTATAAGTCATTTTTACTCTTCGCATCAAAAACTGAAGAAATAATATTTTTTCTAGTTTGGTATATTACTAATAACTTGACGTTTTTACAGATGATCTGATAATTTTGGTATATTTTCCAATTTTGAAATGTTTTAGTGTTTATCTTAGTTTTGTCTATTTTAAAAATATTTCCAGGAAATCCACTTACCCAGGATATATTGAACCTCTATCTGGAACCAGATGGAACAAGAAGGCTACTGAACTATTTGCTTGATAATTTGGCAGGTACTGCAAAAAGAAGTAAGTGCTCATTTGTTTCAACCATTTTTTTTAGAAAGACATGTAAGAATATTGCTTAATTTTGTGTTTTATATTTAACTAGTTTCAACAGAACAACCACCTCCAAGATCTTGGATTATGTTACAAGAACCAGACAGAACAAGGCCAACTGGTTGGTAGCCTTATTTTTTAACTCTGATTTTTACTTGGTCTTTACAAAGCTAACAGTATTGGGGCATGCTTTAGATTATGGGCAGTGTTACAGTAGCATGCTTAAGGTTGATTTGGTTTGGGAGATAATAATAAAGACTTAATTCTTGCCCACCTGGCCTCTATAGCATGCTATAGAAAATATGCTATAAAGCAGTGCTTCTCAACCAGAGGCAATTTTATCCCCCAGGGAACATTCGGCAATGTCTGGAGATATTTTTTGATTGTCACAACTGGGGGAAGTACTACTGGCATCTTGTGGCTAGAGATCAGAGATGCTGCTAAGCATCCTACCATGCACAGCACAGCCCCCCGCAACAAGGAATTTACCTACCCACACTGTCAATAGTGCCACTGTTGAGAAACCTGCTATAAGGTATTGATCAAATTCAGTTATAATAAGTACACCAAAATCTCTATATTAGAAGTTTCCAAACCTTCGTATGTTCCAGGTGTATTTGATTTCTGCAAAATTGTAAGACAGCCAAAACACTTACTTGAGAAAGAAATTGAACTAATTACCTCTGATCTCTTTTTAACTTAAGTTTTATGAAAATAGTTTGGGAACTTCTGTGGTGTGTGTAACAGAATTTGGTCTAATACTCCTTCCTTTCCTTTCACGTGAATTAATAATAGTTGCTCTATAGAAGAAAACTAGACATGCCTATTAAGAAAACTACCTGTCAAGTGTCCACATCGTACGTTAACAGTTGGCGAAATGGTGGAGGGAGCATAGGGGTGATGAGCCTTGGTCTTGGAGGCTGAAGGGCTCAAGATCATAGTCTTTTAGCTTCCAAACCTTCTGTGCATACCTCTGTAGCAGATAACACTTTGTGTTATAATTTGCTCACAAATCCGTCTTTCCTTCATTATTTGACTTTATTTATATCTACCATGTCTGGCCTATAGTAGCTTTTTAATGAATATATATTGAATGAATGAAGTCAGACTCAACATTTAAGTGGAAACTATTGATATTAATTATGTTTTTTTTTTCTGCCACATGTGTGAATAAGTAAAGTTATCTTTCCTACAGCCTTGTTTTCTGTCATGTGCTATAATGTTCTTTGTGATAAATATGCCACCCGGCAGTTATACGGCTATTGTCCATCATGGGCACTAAATTGGGAGTACAGGAAAAAGGCCATTATTCAAGAAATCTTGAGCTGCAATGCTGATATCATAAGTCTTCAGGTAAGTCATCAGAAGAGTATTTGTTTAAATTGCACAAATGCCCCCAACATCGATAAAGCAAGGAGTGACCTGGGAATGCGTTACACTGACACATTTGAAGTCTCAGCTTTAAAATATTTGGCTTTTTAACATTTAAAATATTGACTGTTTTTAGTGAATCCTGGGAGCATTCACTGCCTGCTTTATTTTGCAGCACTGTGCTACTAAATTAAGCAAATGGGTTAAGCTGGGTTTTAAGCATTTGCTATGACAGCTAAATATTCATCTTTCCCTCCCTAATGCCCCTGCACACTATTTTTGAATTGGGTGGCATTGTCAAGGTACAATTTTGCTTTACCACCAGTGATAATAGAATAATTAGGGCATAGTGGAAAGAGCACTGAACCTGGTACATGGTAACTTTGGGTTCTTAGTCCAATTCACATAGTAACTTATATGACCTTGAGCAAGTCCCTGTCTCTCCTTGGCCTAAAATTATGATCTGTGAAGTTCCTTCTGTCTCTCTGATTCTTTTTCCATATCAGTTCTAAAATATAAGGAAATATACATGTGTAGAGGTGTGTGTGTCTTGTCATTCTTTACTCCTAAACAACAAAGAATTGACCTTGTCACCTGGTACCTGTAAAATGACAAGTAAGTGTTCCAGTTGGTTTCAGATAAATTACATTGGAAAGGTGTTACATTCTTTATTCTCTAGATGAGTCATTTGAAGTTATTTTAAGCTCTCAAACTGTACATATACAAGTAATGCAAAGGACTGATTTTTGTCTTATGAAATAACTTTGCTGTTTACAATTTTTCAGGAGGTTGAAACAGAACAGTATTACAGTTTTTTTCTGGTAGAACTGAAAGAACGTGGCTATAATGGATTCTTTAGTCCTAAATCTAGAGCTAGGACAATGTCAGAACAAGAGAGAAAACATGTTGATGGCTGTGCAATATTCTTCAAGACAGAAAAGTAAGTCATCTTATTTTTAAAAAAGAAAATTTTCTCTATATTTGCAGGGTGGGGCCCAAGGGTATGGAAATTATTACCAAATAAGAGATTGAGACCTTGTATTATTACTCAAAAAAACAATACTATTGACTTAGAGGGTTTTGTTTTGTTTTGAATCATCAGGAATAATCTTGCTTTGGAGACACGTTGAAAGTGCTGCTGTTTCTTCAGGTGTTTACTAGGGTTTAACTCCAATTGTTGATTGAAACACCTTGTAATTAACATTCCTTCTAGGATGGTAGAGGGATTCTTAAACCCTTTGGAAAAGAATTATTTAAAAATTACAAGATGGAATATTCCAACATGAAACCTAAACAGAAGATGACTGCATAATCTTAAGTTGTAAAAGTATTTCATGGTGTTATTTGTATCAGTAAAAGACTGAGAACAACTTTAAGTGAGTATGGGAAGCTTTGTGTTAAGTGTGGAGGATTTTCCATAATGTGATTTACATGCCATCATATCTGTTAAGGAAGTTTGGGAAAACTGCATTTCCCACAAAGCTAATATCTTGATATTCCCAATTCTCTGTTTGTGTGTGTGTTTTTGTTTTTGTTTTAGATTTACTTTGGTTCAGAAACACACTGTTGAATTTAATCAGCTAGCGATGGCAAATTCAGAAGGGTCTGAAGCTATGCTGAACAGAGTCATGACAAAAGATAACATTGGAGTTGCAGTACTGCTAGAACTTCGAAGGGAATTGATTGAAATGTCATGTGAGTGACCTTTTCACTTCCTGTAAAAGTGACCCCCAAAATTTAACAGAAAACAGAAAATTTGTAATGTATTAATAGTCTTGTCTAACACCTGAAGAAACTCAGTGAGAACTTAAGTCTTTTCTAAAATGTCACATCCCTTTTTCTCTACCACAAAGCTTGAGATGAGAAAGCATTGCGCAGAAAGCGTTTCAAACCTTGAAAGGCATAAAGCTAAAGAAAAGAAGTTTTTTTGCTCCCAGGGGTTTTTCACATAAAAGAAATGTTGAAGTAAATAATAGTTAAAATAATTGCTTAGAGAGAAGAACTCCATATACTTCTATAATTTCTTGGCAGCAAGGATATTCTGTAAGCTAACTTCTCTTCCTGACCTACTTGTAATAATTATTTTAAAGGTCTTGAGTTTTGCAGAAGTGGACCACTTATTTCAAATTAAAAGTATATTTAGAGAGACCATCATGCTGAGAACTGAAACTTCTGTCACTTGAGGAACAGTTGGAACTGGGATTATTTAACCTGAAGGAAAAAAAATGAAATATGGAACTTAGTGACTGTCTTAAATATATCTAAGGAAAAGAGTGTAGATGTAATTTTGTGAGACTCAATTTAGGACATCTGAACTAAGACCAGAAGTTTCAAGGAGACAGAATTATTTGAACATCAAGCTGCCCCAAATAGAATGGGCTGTCTTTATTCCAGGAGTGGATGCTGGAAGTACTCACTCAGAAGTTTAGGGGTCTGGTTCTCAAGTTTGTTGCAGGGTAGATTCAGTCATCAGGGGGGAGATTGTTAGGTAAATCTCAGGGCCCTTCTTTATTTCTGAGACTCTGAGATATTACTTGCTTTCAGACCTGTAAGAGTATATGGGCTGATGGGTGGGTTTTGTCTGTTTGTTTGTTTTCTTTTTATCTAATATAGCTGGAAAGCCACATCTTGGACCAGAAAAACAACTTATTCTCGTGGCTAATGCTCATATGCATTGGGACCCTGAATACTCTGATGTGAAGTTGGTTCAAACAATGATGTTCCTCTCAGAAGTGAAGAATATTATTGATAAAGCCTCACGAAGCCTCCAGTCCGGTGTATTGGGAGAATTTGGAACTATTCCACTGGTGTTGTGTGCAGATCTTAATTCTTTGCCAGACTCTGGTAAGAAAAGAATGTTCTTTTATATAGGATGCTTTTTGACTTAAAATATTTTTGTAATGTGTTGTTTCTGATAATTCCAGGTTAGTCAGAACAAAAATTCAGTTTGTAGTGGCATCTGTGAATCAGGTTTAAAGACTTTTTTGTGTGGACTAACGGGACCATTTTGAAAATGAAAGGCTATTATGGAAACCTCAGGAGGAAGGACATTAATCATTCTCAATAAACACATAGGTGATAACTTGAAATAACTTGTTAAAGAACATATAATTATATTTCATTACTCTCAGATTATGTATAATCCAGACTCTGAAAAGATTATTAAGACAGCTTCTTTGGGATTCCAGCATGTAGTAATTCAATCCAGTTTAAATTTGACCTCATGTTATAGGATCGCAAATTTTGGTGGGCATGATTAGAAAAATACACCTCAGGTGGAAATTGAGACTCTTTATTTACACAGATCAGGCAAGTGATTTTAACAAAAAAAGAACAGGGATCTTGATTTTTATCACAAAGTAGAATAGAGAAAGCCTTATTCTTGAATACTTTTCCATAGATAGTACAGTGAATAAACAATAGCCTTATAATATCAAACTAAGTATTTCTTCTTTTTTGTATTTCAGCGCCTTGTTTATACTCTCTCACATAGACAAGAATACTTTTCCTTGGACTTGCATACATGCATGAACACAAACACACACATTTGGAGTGGTTAAATTCAGTAGCACATCACCGCCATCACGATAATGAGAGCCATTAAAAAGATAGAAACTATGTTAAAATTCATTTTCAGGGAAGGTGAAGGTATCTGCGATCCATAATTGTTTAATCCATCTCATCAAAACTGTCTAGGGGTTTCTGCTACTGAAGCAGTTGAGGATTATTCTCGGGCAGTTTCTCTACATGCTTTGTACCCTCTGTTTAGCTACAAAGTATCTGAGGGGCAAAGAAAGACTTGTCAAAAAATAAAATCTTAAGACCCATTTCAGTGTTGAAAAATATAGTATTTTAATAGCAAACACCTGGGAAAATGTCCAACCTTGCTAACTAATTAAATGCAAATTAAAATAAATGTTTGCAGAGCCCATCTTACGCTTAGGAAATTGGGAAAATAGTGTCCAGGGATAGTGAAGTTGCTCTGTAACTAACTAGTGACATTCTCTTCCATGGTTGGCAATATATATATAATGGCACAATGAAGCCTAATCTTGGGATTTTATACCAAGTAAATAATTTAACATAAGCAGAGACCTCCGTACTAAGATGTTGATGATGGTGTTGTTTTTAAAAAGTAGAAACAATGTGAATTTTATAAAATTAAGGAACTAGTTTAACAAGTACTATACACCTGGCCTAGTTGTATTATGCAACTGTTAAAAAAAGATAATTGAGGAGACATAAGTTCATGTGATACAATAAAGCAAAGAGTAAAATTTTCAGTATACTATGATTAAAACCATGTAAAAATGGATTTAGACAAGTTTTGGCAAATGTAAAAAAACCAGTGAAACATTTTAGAAAGTGAGAATATTTTTGGTTTAAAACTATTTGCTATTGAATTTTCTTTTTTAGTTATGTTTTGTACACTGTATATTATACTTGACAATGAGAAAAGTACATTTGTTTTTATTATAGGTGTTGTAGAATATTTGAGCACTGGTGGAGTAGAAACAAACCATAAAGACTTTAAGGAACTGAGATATAATGAAAGTCTCACAAACTTCAGCTGTAATGGGAAAAACGGGACAACCAATGGCAGGATCACTCATGGTTTCAAGTTAAAGAGTGCCTACGAGAGTGGCTTGATGCCTTACACAAACTACACATTTGACTTCAAGGTGAGCTCGGAGACATAAACTTTTACAACTTCCATTTTTTAGAGAATCTTGTAACCTCGCCATGTCTTTAAAATGTGAATATGTGTTCAGAATGGAATTTTAAACCATCTTAAATTAGTTGACAGGAATATTCTTTTCTTACTCTTATGTAGAATTCCTTGGGATTAGTGTCCTATCCCTACTTTATAGATACCTGTTAGATTCATTTCTAGGGTAAGAAGTCAGATGAAGTAATGATAGTAAACCCTGAGTTAACTGGCACCTTTTTTGGGGCAATTGTGTTTCTTATAGGCTCATTACTAACAGCTGGATATGCAGTACCCTGCTATTAATTTGGTGTCAGTTGGGGTGAGGTGTTCCATCTCTCATATTATAGTTTAACTGAAACTGTACTCCTTGAGTGTCAAAATGTAGTTTATTATTAGCCATTTTCAGATTTCTAAAATATATTTACATGCCTTCTTATACAATTAATGGCCTGCAAGCTGGAGCCTTTCCTTAGTGATTCTCCTCCTTTTTAATATAGTGGTTGTTTAGGGCTTGTGTTCAACTGTCCTTTTTAGCCACCTTTTGCATTTCTGTTCTCTTTAAGTCCTGGGTTTTCCATTTCTAACCTGCTGGAAAAATGATCCTTCAAGTTAGCTTGTCTATTAGAGTGTAAATACTGGTGTTAATTGGTTCTTAATTTTGGAGATGAGAGCTATTTACACTCCTTTGAGAAACTACTGAAAGCTATGACAGTTTTTTATTTGACTTTGGAGGATCCATAGTACTGTAGGTAATGATTTAACCCTGGGAACAGGTGAGTGTGTAGAGTTGAAAAGGCTGGAGTAGACTCTGGGCAAAACTAACTTGTAAACGACAGAAGAAGAACCAGGGAGAGGAGAAAAGCCAGGACAGTGTAGGAGCTTAACTGCCAAGGAAAGAAGGCCTTTCTAGGGAAGAGGAATGAGTGTTAAGTTTCAGAAACATGATGGTGAGAGATGTTTCACTGGAGAGCTGGGCAGAGAGACTAGAGTGCAGTGAGTTGAAGAATAACTGAGCAATGAGGTAGTAAAAACCAACTTGTAGATTCTTATTTCAAGCAGATTGATTGAAGGAGAGGTGAGAGTGATAACCAAAAGGTGGGAGAGATCAGGGGGTTTTTTTTCTCTTGTTCCTGTTGCTGATACGGAGATGGAAGATGACACTTGAATGTGCTTAAATACTTTTGGCCTAGAGCATTTAGAGAGGCTGAAGTTACAGGGAGGAGAGGGGCAAATCAAGAGATCCTTAGCTGCGTGCCAAAGGCTGTGCCTGTGTGCTGCTGAGGACATGCAGGGCAGAGCCCCTCATGGAGCTCAGGGTCTGGTGGGAGAAACGGGTCTTGCCTACCCAGATGAGTATGTAGTTAAACCTTGAGCTGCACATGAGCAAAGGAAGAGAATTGGAGGTGGTAGGAGATATTACATGGGTGAGGACAGGATTCAGGAAGGTCTTTGGAAAGTGAACTTGAAGGTTGAGAAGGTATTAACCAAATGACAGGTAGAAGAAAGTGTTCCAGGCAGAGGGGACAGGCCCTGGGGCAGGAAAGAGCTTGGCACCTGCGAGGAATGTACCCTACTTCATTGCACCCCCCCCAAAAAAAAAAAAAGGGCTAGTATGGCAATGGGGTAGTGAGCAAGGGGGAAAGTGGTACAAATTAGATTAGGAGAGAGAAGCAGGGGCCATTTCATGAGGAATATTTTAGGTCTCTTTAAAGATTCTGAGAAGATCCAGCTAGGAGGAACAATGAATGGTTAGCATTGCTTAACTTTCTTCATTCTGCTAGATTTGACATTTAGTTTATGTAGTACTGCCTCTTCCTCACGCTAATAAGTTTCTTTGTTTACCAGACATGACTGTAAGGGTCTTGAAAGCTCTCAGCATTTCAGCGTCATCTTATGTGGGGCCTTGTCTTTTTTTTTCCTTTCTGTTTTTCAGGGTATAATTGACTACATCTTCTATTCTAAACCTCAGCTGAACACTTTAGGCATCCTGGGACCTCTGGACCACCATTGGCTAGTTGAGAATAATATCAGCGGCTGCCCACACCCACTCATCCCCTCTGATCACTTCTCACTTTTTGCACAACTGGAGCTCTTACTGCCTTTCCTGCCCCAAGTTAATGGCATTCACCTTCCTGGCAGGAGGTAGTCAAGTGTCTTCAGAGGACGACCTCAATTTTATTTGTAAAGTCATAAAAAATCTGAATATAGGAGAGTGAGGTATGGCCACTAGGGTTTTTTTTTTTCCTTAATGATGATTTGAGTTTTCAATCTGATTATTTGATAAGGATATAGTATGAAAGCCAGGTGCTAGCAACAGACAAATTCTGAGCCCAGTATGCTTTATATACTGTTAGACAGGGATTGGTGTCTTTGCACCTATCTTTAATTTGTTACAAGTAATTTTCCTGTTTCTTCTATTCAATATAATATTTTCATGCCTTGACATAGGAAAATGTTTGAACAGCATATTCTCTTTGCACAGAAATCCATAGCACTACTTTTTTGAGGCCAGTAATAACATCCAGAGACCGTTCTTCCATACTTTACTCCCTCCTTTTTCAGACTTGTTTATAAAATAAATAATTTGAATTTAGCCTTTATGATTGTATATAATCCACAGAAGACCTGATTTATGAAATTTTGTACTAAAAAAAATCAGATTTGCAAATGACTGTATTATAAACTAAGGCTAAGGTTTTTTTACCTGTTTCGTGTGTTATAAAGGCCAGCTTGTAAAAGAAGTTGCAACAGACTTTCTCTGCTGATGATTTGCACTGTTAGGGTTTTGTTAGCCCTTTTGTACTACTTTATTTTTAAGTTGAGAACATTGCTCTCTAAATCTGTTTTTTCTCGGACCAGAGACAACTTATCTATGAATTCCTGGGTTGTTATGAAAACTATCTACCAGGAGAGATAAGGTGAGCAGTGAATGATCTGTAGGCATTTATGGACTGAATGTAGTGGTTGATACATGTACATTCTGATATTTTTAAAATCTTTAACTTTTTTAAGTTGAAAAATTACAGCTGCTTAGGTACAGCTTCTTAACTCCTTTTTGAGACACTTCTTGTCCTATCTCCACTGTGCCTGCCTAAATTTGTTCTCACCAAGCACTGCCTGTGCATGCAGAGAAAATCTGTGCATCCTCTTTTATATTTTTAAATACTGTTTTACATTTGTGAGAATTTTATGAAAATGCTTTTGAATGAATTGTGACTTTTTTTCCATTGTGAAGCATTGAATATCACATTTTGGAACATGTTCAGAGGGTGGTCCCTGGGTCTTTGCTCACCAGACCCAAGCACTGCTTCTTGGTGTCATTGCACAGTGCTGTTCGTCACCCAGAATACTACTATCATGTGAATTCTTGTTGTTTTCCATGTATTCCTTAATGTCCATGTTTTTAAAAATCATTCCTTTTGTTTAAAAATGAAAGTAATTTTCCTTTTATGAAGCAGTATAAATGAGATGTATTTTCAAAACAGGTCCCCAAGACAATTCTTCAGATCATTTTTAAAGTGACTGAGTCCTTTTAATATGTCAACCAAGATAAAGTTATATTGCACCCTGTATTTTGCCCATAGTGCCATTAGTAGATTAGAGATTAAAGCCAGCTTTAACTTTGCAAAGTTAACTCATGTATATTCTGTTCTCATTCATTTATTCTTCTCTCAAAAATCAAATGACTTCAGAGGGGACTTGGTCTAACTGCTTTTGTTTCAACTGCAGGCAGGGGAGCAAAAGGATACCATGTGAGCATTAAACAAAAATTGTTGAATGTTAACAATTTTTATACAGAGAATGAGTCATTTTGGATAATGACTTAAAATTTTATGAAAAATGTTTAGCACGTAAATGTGCTTAATCTGTTTTTAAGAGAAAATAAAATTACATACTGTTTAAATAAATGATTTTTTTTTCTTTTCTTTCAGAAAAAATTCTCCAGGTTTTGATCTTGAATCTTTGTCTGGGACCTGGTTTTTCCTTTGAGGTTTTTTTAAGATTTTGTTGTGATGGTTTTTTTTTTTTATTTTTTGCTTTTGTTTAAGTTGTGCTGACACCAAACACATCCATTGATAATCAGTACATTGGAAAGCTGGTATTACTGATGTAGAACCAATGCATAACTTTTTATGGGGTTTTGGGGTTTTTTTTTTTTTGTAAAGTGTGAATAAAAGGTGTGTTTACTCATTTTTCCTAAACACTGTGTTGGTAATGTGCATCATGACAATTTCCAGCGAGGGTGAGCTGGAGCTGGTTGGACTGAGGAGATGAAGGAAGCCGCTTTTCCTGTGATCTGCATTATGTCAGAACAGGTCTGAGAGCTTTATGGAAGGGGAGGGGAGAAGCACTTACTCATTGTATGTTTATGAATGGAGGGTGTATTCTTTTCATAGATGCTGGAACTAGAGTGCGCTTGTTAGATGCTAAAGGTTTGAGCTTTACACAAAATGTTTTCATCTGTATTGATGTTGTCTACAATATATTTGAATTTGGGGGCAACATAATGAGATATAATGGCCTGTTATGTCTTGAAAATATTTGTTCTTGCCTCTTCTAGGCATACTGCATTTTGTGGGTCAGTTTGAGCAGCTTCTCTACCTTATTGAGATAGTGATAAATTGAACCAAGAGTGTAGATTTACAACTGTAACCTTCAAAAGAGAAAGAAATATTCTGGGCCTGTAGGGAATAAATGGTCACCCCAAAATGACTATGATACTTTTGTTAAGCAAGATTTTGTGTTTTAACTGTTTTCTGTGTGTCCTGAATAATTTCCAATAATCCATACTCCCTAAAATGCAATAAAATCTAGTATGTTTTCACAGCATAGATTTTTTTCAAAAATTCTGTAACAAATATATTTAATGTGGTGTTGCCATAATGTAATTTCAGTGTTCTTGCTGGACAAATCCATCTTATGGATGTTTTACAGAAGATTTGGGGTATGTTTTCTCTTTTAATGATTAGAAATTTGGAGGCACTCAATCCTTGTTGTAAATCTCTTGAAGTACCATTTACCATATTAGTGGTAATTATTTATACTTTGAGAATTTAAATAATGCTCATCAAAATTAATTTATGGCATAATTTAAACTAAAGTTCTAGAAATAAAATGTTGATTGCAACTTTATAGCCCTAGAAGATAGACAAGGAACATCTCCAAGAAACTTTTTATTTTTATTTGATTTGGTTACAGCCAGGAAAACTTGAGTTGGCACTTTGAAACCTAAGGACACTATTAAATTGGGTGGAATGCACTTCTAAATATTGAAATTAAAATTTCAAAGCTCTTCTAAGGTTCAGGTTTTCAATAATAAATTCCAGTTTTAGTATTGCGTTTTTTACTATTTAAACTCATGGGATTCGTTTCCATAGTGACTTTTAAGGTTTTGGAGTCATGTCATATCAGGACAAAAGCCAACCCAGGCAAAACAGTTGCAGCAGTTTGTTCCTTTAATGAACCAGTCAGAATATCCAGTAGAAATGCTACAGATGATTCCAAGAACACTTTTAGCAAGTGTTTCTCCCCTACTTGTAAACAGTATGTTAAGATGTTCACTTTGCTCTTCCTTTTGGTTACATAAATTTTAATAACCGGTGTGATGAAGTCGTGTCTAAAATAGAGTATCTAGTCTTATTCACAGTACGTTATATTGTGTAATGCACTGGACTAACTTTTGTTTACCATTCGTGTATCAAAACCCAGCACATTATCTGCACTAAGCTCAAAGAATGTCGCATTTGCCTGGGCAGCTCTTTGATAAGGGTGTGGGAGACTGACTATGTACCCATGGACTGGTGGTAACAAGGGCTTTTACTGTTCTTTTCAGTGGAACCTTCTTGGTCAAATTGTAACTAGCTAGTATTATATTTATATACAGGGTCTCTTTTCTTTACCGATGTATTTTCCTACTCATAGCCAACCAATAAATTCAATATCTGTTTCAAATATTTTAACAGTGTAATTTGTATAGCTGTAGTACTGAGGTTTGAGAAAAATAAATGTTAATCAGACCACGTAGTTAAAATTGTGAGTCATCTGGGACAGGGTTATAACTAACCCTCTGAAAGGGAAGAGATGAATGGGGCCATGATATTGGAGAGATGGTGTGAACTTAAGAATTTCCTTATTGGCTGTGTTATTCTGTATAACACTCATATCTTTGCCTAAGTCCAATTTTATATTTAAGCATCTGATGGTCCTTTTGCATTTAGGATTTTTTTTTTTTTTTTTTTTTAAGATTTTATTTATTTATTTTTCCCCCAAAGCCCCAGTACATAGTTGTCTGTCATAGCTGCACATCCTTCTAGTTGCTGTATGTGGGATGCGGCCTCAGCATGGCTGGAGGAGTGGTGCCTCGGTGCGCACCCGGGATCCGAACCCGGGCCGCCGGCAGCGGAGAGCACGCACTTAACCGCTAAGCCACGGGGCCGGCCCCAGGATTTTTATTGTTGTTACCATATACCTCGTAATATAAGAATTGAGCTCGTCTGTCTTCCAATCTTTTGGAAGGAGGTTGACGTATTTTAAATAAATGCTTTTAAATACAATAGCAAACATCGTGTTGGTGGGATTATACCAATTCATTAAATGTTTGACTTGTTACATACATATTTTGTTGTATATGTATACTTTAAAAATATGACTTCCCAACTCTTAAGAACATTAAGTCTATTCTCTTTTTAGAAACTACTTCTATAACAAATAAATGTAAATTTTTATGTAGATGCTTGAAAAAATCATTTAAAATCAGAAGACAAATGAAATGAATGTTTGCTAAGATGTCCAGTTTTTAAAGTAGGTGTTTTTCTACCTAATCCTTAATATATAATTTTACATCTCTCTTTAACAGAAGTCTTGTTCCTCCTCATAATTGTCAAAAAACAAGTGAAAAAGTTAATGAAGTATGCTCATATTACTTTATAAATTCTAGTTAATGTTCTTTAGAGGAACAAGTAACTAAGGAGAGATGAACTGAAATATATTTGGAATAAAGTTTTTAAGTTTTAGGTAACAATGTTATATATACTGAGAATTCAGTTTTTGGAGTATTATTTAGATATTCAAATTTAAAATGATTTTAAAATAAGTATTCACAGATACTATAAAGACAATTTTAATATACAGGTTATATATTAGAAGAATCTTATAGAAGATAGTTTTTACTAGAATTTTATAAGAATTTGAGGAATATTTCTATAAGTTAATTTCCTCCAAGTAATAAAACACAAAATGTTCTAAGTAGATTGTTCCCCAAATGAGTCCAGCCATCTAGTCTATAGCTAGGAATTGGGAAAACTGCAGGATTACAAAGCGGCTTGAAGACCAGTTTCTACAGTTTCTTTAACAACGTTAACATTTTAAATCAAGTGAATAAGGAGATGTCAATTTTCTCATTTTCTTTGAATTGCAAACTTCAAATCACTCTAATCTACTCAAAAGCTATTAAATTATTTTGGGCCTGTCACGAGTAACTCTGCTTACTAGACCAGTGTTGGGACGAGGTCTTGAGCTTTTACTGCCAGATACTTTTCAGCCTTACTAGCAACGGAGTGAGTCTGAGGTGTGGGGTCCGGAAATGCTGACTCAACACGACTGCTTCATTAGTCAGTGGCTTGTGACCACCAACCCTACAGCCCTAGTGATTTCACTATCTCCCCTTCGTAGCAGTCTTGCTAATACTACTTGTTTCTGAACTTTATGTAATTCTTGAAAACCTGGTCCATGAAAACTTTGAAAAGGAATGATGGTATGACCAAAGCCAGGTAGAAGAAATCTGCAAAATGCAAGACTTGCTTTCCTTTTAATATTCATACTGATGCGGGTGGCTGATTCTCAGGGCAGTGAAGTAGTTGTGAGGGTGGGTACTCAACATATTGAGCGTTAGTTGAGGAAGTATGGATGGGATGGATTTCCACCATGATGTGGGTCTTTCAGTGGGCAGTGCAGTAGCAGTGGCTGGGATGCTATGGGCAGTGCGTTTTGAGCCTTGAACCATATGTTAAGGTTTGAACTTCATCCTGTAGGTGGTGATAAAGAGCCATACAGGGCTTTAAATGGGAGTAGTGTTACCAGATTTGTGTTTTAGAAAGGGCGCTCTAGCAGCACTATGGAGGATGAATTACAAGTGTAAGAGTAGTTAGCTGGGGGCTGGCCCAGTGGCGTAG